GTAAGTAGTAGGTAGGTAGGTAGGGTAGGAGAGTAGAGTAGGTCCGGACCGACGACGACTTAGTATACTCGTTCGTTCTCCTCCGTCCCTCCTCTCTCTCTCTCTCTCTCTTTCTCTCTCTCTCTTTCTCTCTCTCTCTCACACACACACACCTGCTCAAACCTCAGAAATATTGGAGCTACCAAGATGAGATACCAATAGATAACACACACACACACACACACATTCACACACCTGCTCGAACCTCAGAAATATTGGAGCTACAAAGATGAGATACCAATAGATAACAAAGGACCACCACTATGTAGGTCAATCATGTTCTGTCTCCTGTCCATCCATGAATTTGTTCATTGATGGCCATATGATCAACAAACTATAGTCCATCGGATAGTATTATACCTTCTCAACATCACAATCTCTCAAAGCAAATGATGAAATACAGATAACAAAAGGAATCAACACAAAGAAAAAGAAAATGATCTCAATAAGCTTAAGTGGCTCTGTTTCTATATATCCTTCCATGTATGGTGCCCCACTCTCTACAATTGAGCGAGGTGATTGAGAAGGGTCATATTGAGTTACAGGAGAAAGATCAGCTTCTTTTGATCACCCTGGTCGCATATCTTCTTTCCTGGTAAATTTAGCAGCATGTTCTTCTTGGGGTTTAGATGGAGATGTTCTCAAAAGAGCAGCTAGTGACTCTCCATTAACGAGCTGAAATAAGGTAATTTAAGTTTAGGCACTATATACTAAAAACTCATCCAAAAACACCCCAAAAAGTAATTTAACTGAGAGGCCATTAAAACAGTGATAATTCCCCTTGTAAGACAAATAAAATCAATGGAGAAGGTCATCAAAATTATTCTGAAGAAATAATCCAGTTTCATAACACTATTCAGGAGAAACAGTGATGAATCCTTCTGTGACTATTCAAAGTCCAGAGAATGAAAAAGACTTGTAATGAAAATGAATAAACCAAACATATTGCATTAAGTAGTCAAAATCAGGGTATAAGAAACTGCACATATGACTAATTCTCAGACAAAATAAAGAAATAAATTTAACGGAAATGCATTGCCACCAAAGGTAAATATATGATATCGAAAAGCTGAAAACCCAGCCTCACGGTTATTTGGATAAATGAAAATAGCATTCCCAATGGAAAACCAGCAAATAAACTGACAAAAATCCATCGAATCTTCCATCTCAAGGATAGTTATAATATCATTTCCGATGGTCATTTAAAGAGGATCAATGACTAACTATACTTGCAAAGCTAATAACATAAAATCGGTGGAAAAACCAAAAAAATCCATTAATCATCTTCATAAAAACCCATGTCTTGATTATCCACAATGCCCATATGATAGAAAAAACAATGAAGAATACCCACATAGCCAAATTTTGAAAAAAATCATAATACACTGCTCATAAATAAATATGCATCATAAATCCAGATAAACCACCAAATACTTCAATAGCTAAAAAACACAGAAAAGAATAAGAAATACAAAAAATGCAGTGAGAATCATTAAACTTAGATAACCAATCGATTATTCACTTACAAAAACTAGAACACCTTTTAGCTCGCATTTCAATAAGAACTACCTGAGTTTCATTGCAACTCTCTACCAGAATAGTCACATTTAAGTCTGGCAAAAGGGTTTTAGGGTTTCCAGAAGCATCTCTTTTCATGCTCCTCTCTCCTTCATGAGCCATGCTTTGCAACATACAATAAAAACTCAAAAAATAAATAAAATAAAGCCGAATATTTTGGAATATTCAAAACCCTATTATTTTTATTGGTTTCACCTCGTCTTTCTCCTTTTTGCGCTGCCCACACTCTCAGACACCTACCCAAAAAACCCTAAATTTCTAACTGGTTAAAATCCAATGTTCGCATCTGTTACAAGTTAAAACCCTACATTTTGCTCGCAGGTGCGAAGTCATGGCTTCACTCTCTCTAAAACCCTTGCTAAGCATGATTAAGCCCCTGTTTGTCAAAATATTTTGTCCACAAAGTTTGTATGAGGTTGCTGCCTTTTGCATGCTAAAGAATACGGTGCACCTCCAAAAAAATCTTGTAGAAATGATCCCTCTCAAAGTTGGGAAACCTTGGAATCGATAAAAAAAAAAATGAAAATAAAAGAATTTCAACATATAAAATTTAAATAAATCTTGTAACATGACAAGGTTTTTAAGTATTTTATAGATTTTCTTGATCTGCATTATTTTTTAATTTTAATTTTCATGATTTGGGCGAAACAAATTTTCAAGTCATTTAAAGATTTTTGGGCACCGAAACTATATCGTCCCGCAAAATTTAAAAATGTGTTAAGGTCTAGGCTTCCATTCTCACCTAACACTTTAAAAAAAAGGGAAATGTTTCTATACTTTCTTTACACCATAGAAAATCTATGCTTCCCCTACCATCCAATCGTCCAATTTTGTTCGAGAGAGCTGCTCACCGTTTGATCTTAGATCCGACGTCTCAAAGTATTTTATTTTTAGTTTTTTATACAAATTGTATGAATATAAAATTTGGCACGTGCCATCTTCTCATTGGGGCGCACTTATAAAAAATATTAAAAATATTTTTTTGATAAAATATAATGACCAAAATACCCTTATATTTTCAGAGGTATTTTGATCATTTTATTTTATTAAAAATATATTTTTTATATTTTTCACTAGTGCGAGTTTAATAGAGGATTGGACCTACAAAATTTGGTATCAAAATAATTTATAAAAAAAAAAAATAGTGTAGAGACGTGACATTGTGATTGGGTCAATCTTAGCCCTCCATTCAAAATGGACGGTTGGATAAGGGGAAGTATATAAGTTTTATGTTGTAGGGAAAACATAGAAAGCTTACCCAAAAAAAAAACTACTAATAATTTAGAAAACGGGTGGGCTTGTTATCCCCACAAAATTACCAAAAAAAAAAAAAAAAAAAGAAGATGTGCACCTTATACAAACCATGGTGAGAAGCAAAATATCAAATTTTACTATTAAAATGAACACCATATAATTTGTTTTGTTTTATGGAGCTGGTATAGTAATATTTCCGTTCAACTTGGAATAACCCTTGCAGTTGCTCTATTCGTATTCTTCGTAGCCCTTTTGTCCGAGTCTCCGAGTCAGACCATTGTGTTGCTTACCATGCACGTATATTATGCTCGCGAGGGACCAATTGTGTCTCTACTTCGAGGAGGAAGCCTACTTGGGAGATTTCTTTAATCTAAAAAATTTCATAAACTATCTAAAGATCTATTGATGGTTATTTTCAAAAGAGAAAATGTGAATTTGAAGCTTTCTAACACTTGGATGTCACCTTAAAATACAATTACAATTGATGGTCTTTGTTCAATCTTGGGACGATATTTGTTTTTTTTTTCCTTTGAGTTCATAGAAAGTGTGAATTAGATTTTTTTTTTAAGTTATTCTATGAGTCGAAGAGGTTAGATCCCCAAACTTTAGGATCCTAAATTCACTACTAAATTAGATTTTACCTACTGGAGTAAATAGATAATATGCTCTTGCGGAAGTATAAAATCGTTTTGGCGTATTTATATTCGAATTTTTTTAGTGTGTATAATGCTCCTACGATAGCATATTGTATAGTTAGTCTCTTGGTTAACGACCGATTTAGGAGTAGTTTTTCTCTATTGAATGCCAAATAAGAGACTTTAAACTCTCCATTTACTCCCTCGGGTAAACCTCACCTCAATCTAGAAGTAATTTTAGGACAAAAAATTTGGGGATGTGACCTCTTCATCCTATAGACTAACATAAAAACAAAAAAATCCAATTTGAGTGTATAAAATGCTAATGTAAAAATATGTCATGTGGACACGATACATCCATAAAATATATGGGTGCCCATATGTATATGCCTATAAATACATGTATTGAAATTTATTTGTAGTTTACATCAGTATTTGCAGCAATTCGTATGTCATAACAATAATAAAGCATCAACATAAATAAATTAAACTAATAGTCCAAATATATCGTAACAACATGCTATTAACTAATTATTAATTCACAATGTAGCACCATTTTTGCATGGGAATTGCCCAATGGTTTAAAAAATGGATAAGTGCATTGGATCGGGCACCCCAAAAATCCATCCGGATCGGTGAATCAGCGATTCGGATAGGGAATCGGCCGAATTAAGCTTCAAAAAAATCCAAAAAAAATCATTATAAATGTTGTTTTTTAATAATCTAATAAGAAATGGGGGTACTCCATTAAGAACTTTTATTTTTTTTGCATCAATATACGAATATGAAGATGTTATTTCTCTATATGAACTAATGTTAACCATTAAATTCTTACATAAATGGTGAAGCATAGAATTATTATGGATGAAGTATAAATTTCTAAAAATAATGTTATTTTAGTTTCTAAATGTAATTAGGAGTGATGCATTATGTACTTTCATTACTTTGTAAAAATAGGTGAATGCTGATGTGTTTTTTTGTCTGGATGTCTGTATAATTACTAATTATAATATACTATTATAATATTATAAAAAATAATAATTTCCCATATAAAATGATATCATAATCATATCAAAGTATTAAATATTTATTAATTCATTTTACTCATCCAAAAATTTCACAACCTAACTAACTATAATATTATATAATGAAATTGAAATTGTTGGTTTATATTTTATAATTATTTTACTATACAAATACGAACAAATCTAAAATACCTTATAATATCACCTAAATTAAAAAATTTATTTACAACTATAAGAAAAATAATATATTATATAATTTATAATGTAAACAAAGTAATAAATAAAATACAAGATTTGGTTATCAATGTATAATTATTAATTATAATATTATAGTAAACATGGTTAAAAAATTATTAAAAAATGCTTCCATATCATATGATTAAAAATAAAAATAAACCCCCAATAAATTCTAATGCTAAGATATTAAAAAATTCAAAAAACATTTATCCAAAAAATTAAAAATAAAGATAACAAAATTAAAAAAAAAAAAAAAGCCTATCGACAACATGCGCAACGACTTTCATATTGTAATATTACAAAAAAAATTTAATTTCCTGCATAAATTAGTATCTATCAAAGTATCAAACATTTATTAATTCATTTTACTCATCCAAAATTATTACAACCTAACTAACTCTATAATAATATATATTGAAATTGAAGTTGTTGGTTTATAACTTTATATTTTATAATTATTTTTTATGCAAATAAATATATAAAATGTCTTATAATATCATCTAATTTTAAAAATATTATTTACAAATATAGGAAAAAATAATACATTACAAATTTTATAATGCAAATTAATAAATAATATACAAGATTTGGTTATTTATAAATTAAAAAAATTCACATTTGGAATGTTGGATAATTGATCAAGCAACTTGAAATAAATTTTAAAATGGTATGAGTGAGAGTTATTTTTCCCTCTTAAAATATCTTCTAAACTATTTTTTTTTAATATTCAATAGTCTAGAATTAGTATTATTTTTTTTCTTTTTTTAATATCCTATGAGTTAGTACTAATTTTTTAATTATAATTAACTAATTAATAAATTATTAATCATATAATGAAATAATCCCATGGCATAATAGCCTAATAGAGTTTTTATGTTTTTTTGATAAGTAAATTTAAATTTTTTTGGTGAAAGATAGGGGTAATGGGCACCCCAATTATATTTTTAATAAATTTTTTCCCTTTTTTTATTGTCTAATTTAATTGCCACCATAGGATGTACACCCTTCTTACTCATGACCGACGTACACCGTCGCGCATCGCACGTACACCATATCACTCCAATTTATCCCAAGCTGCTTTTAACAATATTTGCGCATCGTGCATACGCCACTGGTTTTTTAACTCGTAGAATTGTCCCACATCAAAGCGATGTAGGAAGCAAAGGCTATAAAAGAATCCAACCTGCCCAAACAACTTGATGTTGTCATGGCCACGTGTAGGTGGGTTGTGCATGTTGACGATTGGTGCATGCCACACGCATGTGAGTTGTTGCACGCTGACGGTTGTTTCATGGCTATGCATATGTGTGGGTTGGTGTATGTTGACGTAAGCAGTTTTTTGAGGCTTTAATTGTAGTGACTTGAGCGGTTCACTCTACAAAATTGTTGACTTGGGCGGTTTACTGTTGAGAATCGCATGTTTTACTGAAATCGACATGAGGTGACCGATTCCCATATCAACTTGGGCGAGTCCGTTGCGACTCACCGATTTTTAAAACACAGGAATCGCCTAATGTATTCATCCAAAGTCATATCATCACACCACTCAAACCCTGAATAGATCCATCTTTTGGTAAGACTGGCAATATTAGGAGATCTATCTATGTTGTCTTTATTGATGTCCACAACCAATTATCTGCATAGAATGGATTTATAAGCATCATGCTTCCCTGTAACCAATCTTAGATTGATATGAAAAAGTACATATTAAATTCGATAGCTTGGGTGAGTCACAAAGTTTGAGATTTTTTTTTTTTTTGAAAATTTGTGTCTATTCAATGACACTCTTACAATCATCAATTTTGAAATTTAAGAGATAAGAATGATTTTGACCTCTATATATAAAAGATAAATGATCTCTTTGATGACAATCCCTAAAAAAATTAATGTTAAAAATTTTAGCCAAGGGCAAATATTGCACTATGTAGGGAAAAGTCCTACAAATTTCAAAGACTATCAAATGAAAGTAAGGGCATCCAAAACTTGTAAAACTATAGTGCTCGGACAATACAATATAATATAAAGTACTATATTAAAAAATTAAAGGTAGAATATGATTCATGCTATAAATGGCAAAAAAAAAAAGGACTAAAGAGATCTTATATAGCAAAATGAGAATGGAAGAAATAAACTTAGAAGCAGTGGTCAAATGAAGATTTACGATTCCTCAACTTGCAGAGGGAGAAATAAGGACTTGGAGGGTGAGAAATCCTAAAAGTTTTACTA